AGACGGACAAAAGAAGAAGCCTCAGTACGCAACCACTGGGGCAGGCGAGCTTTGTCAGTCACCGTGACAGTCACTGTCATTAGTCGCATCCAACACGACTTCCCACTCAGCTCCTCACTCAGTCAATCCCTCATCGAACTGACATTTCACCCCCGTAGTATGTTATTCCTCACGAGGACTTCAGAATTATGACAATGATTATCATCTCGCTCAAGTAAACTGTGGCTGTGACAGCGTGGCTTTGATGCTCTACTTTCACACCAAAACACCCCGGGCCCATTCTTATCTATGCTTGCCGGGGATAACCAGCAATGGTACTCCTAGGAAACAGGGGGTTGTTTGCGGGTTAGAGAAGAAAAAAAGCAGAAAAAGAAAAGGCTAGCTGCAAGATGCAGGAAAAGGCTAGCTGCAAGATGCAGCCTCCAGAAAATAGACAGGCAAGAGAATCGGGGCCACCAGAGGTGATGGTAACTTGTCTTTTTTTTCTCAAAATTTGAACTCTCCCGAGACGGAATGGAWGTCCTGGATATCAACCATTTGCCTATCATGGTAGTTTATCTCTGCAAAAATAGGGTTTAGGGTGTCAAGCGGAGGTCGTACAGGCTGCTGGGGTTCTGGCATGTCCACCTGTGGAATGCAATGGTACTGATGGATGCAACCCACCGAAACGCTGGCATTGCTCGTCTCATTACATGTGTCTCATTACATCTGCCACAACCTCGACCGATAATAACGAGTCTGACTCAAGTATTAAAAAAGGAAAGCATCACACMAATGCACTGTCCACTTTCAGGATGGATGCCCAAGAAGTGAAGCCCACTAGATCACTGTTTATCATCAAAAGTGGGGGTAGAGGGGATCGAACCCTCATGGCTTAAAAGTTAAAACTTGAAACCAATGGATTTTCATCTTACTTTAATTTACATTATGACTCTCTTCGAGCTAGCAAGATTGGACTCTCTCTTTATCCTTGTATTTTTTATTTCACTATTATCAAATAGTTTTTGACTTCACAGCACCCACTCCAGCTTCCCTCCACAGTCTAGGAGGAGTGGAAAACTTCTGACAATCACCTGTGTACCTTCATGCATTCCGCTGTGAATAATACCTCAAGTGTCCCGAGAAAGAATATCCCCAGTCGTTCAAGTCGTGGTGGAAGTTGTGGAGGCAGTCTTGAATAATACCTTCATGCATCAGAGAACTACAGGACAGTGACTTGCGAGGCATCTGCAGACGGTACTCATGGGACCCACTCTGCTGACGACATATTGCCTGGTCACACTATTGCTGATGACCCCTGCAATGGACTTTGGACAAAAAAAAAAAAAAAAAAAAAAAAAAAAAAACCTTTGAGGTGGGAGCATTAGAACTAGGAAATTGAAGGTGTGGGACGTCATACCACACTCACCTACAGCAAACAAAGTGTACCTCAAACATCATTCTCTGTCCCGACTGTTACACCAGTGAGAGCCACCTGCACAAACCACAACATGCAGTCTGCATGCAGCCAAGGCATGCATATCAAGTCGACACCATTTTATGTTCTCTTCTGAATTCACAGTTGCTCAGTGGATCCTACAATCGGTTCAACGCCATGATCAGGTTTGTCGTGTGGTAGCTCTGACATCTACCAGTCTCTATAACACGAACCATACTGCTGGAGAGAGAGAGAGAGAGAGATGGAGAGAGAGAGAGAGAGAGAGAGAGAGAGAGAGAGAGAGAGAGAGAGAGAGAGAGAGAGAGAGAGAGAGAGAGNGAGAGAGAGAGAGAGAGAGAGAGAGAGAGAGAGAGAGAGAGAGAGAGAGAGAGAGAGAGAGAGAGAGAGAGAGAGAGAGAGAGGGCCTTAGGGCAAGGCGTGCCAGGAGAATTTCTGATCACGTTCCTCTCATGTACTCATGCACAGCACTTCCAGAAGTGAAAAAATCTCTTGCATTAAAGCCAACTATTGGTATGAAAATTCCTTAAGATCAGTCTATGACTGTAAGAATGCAAGTACTCATCCAAGAGGGTTGGGTTGTAATTACTCAACAAACTGAATGCCATGATCTGAAGAGGACCCGGAATTCCCCCCAGTCTGTAGCAGCTGTGCAAGCTGTGCCTTGAAGCTTTGTCAATTCCTGCTCAGCCGTGCAAAATCCCACAGTCTGAAGCGGGTTGTGCAAGCTGCCTTGAAGATTATCAGTTTCTGCGTAGAAAATAGTGATTCTCACCACGAAAGAAAAAGAAACAAAGAAAGGAGAATTATATAATCATACTGGTTCTCATTAAACTCGAGAAGTATCTGCAATGAACAGTTTAAGCCTTTAAGGCCTTAAACCTGACATCTTTTATCCGCTAACGACAAATTCCTGAAGGCTTCAGAATAAGGGGCTTGGTCTGGATCTCAATCTCTGCCCATCTGACTCCATGAGAGACCAATTCTGTGCAGAGAATACTGTCACAGTCGCAGTGTGACTATTATTCACCGGAATTATCTCCAGACGCGGTAGCCGTGCTCTTGCTGGACAGCACCGGACCAATGATGATCTTTTTTGCATCTCTCGCAGCATGGTGTTCAACTTGCCGATTTTCCACGGAGAAAGAAGAAGATCAGAACCCTTCTGCGGCATGATGATGACGTTGCCAATGTTATAGATACTCCCAACTGAATTCCAACATGTCAGCCACGTTAAAAAACTTGGTCACTGACTCACTGCACATCAACCAGCATACCACTGCGGCCACGTGTGGCGACACCAGATGGATCTGCACATAATCATTGCAGAAATCAACACCCCTGCGTCTGTGCTAGTGATAGCATCTGTATCACACAAGTGGGAGCAGATTCACACCGTGACATTTCTTCACACAGACAGCATCAAGCCCGACAGGATGGATGATGCCATCATTCCTACTCCCGAAAAGATGCTGTCCACTGTTTACAGAGGTAATGCCGTTCTCATAATGAACAAATGCACCTCCCCGCACGTTCTCCCTTCTCCCCATTCCTGGAAACAAAGGGGGGGGGAAATAACAACTTTAATAAGAGCTCAGAAAAAAAATTCAAGAGGCACAGCTGGAAAGATAATCCACTGCTGATGCTAGGAAACAAATTGCAGTGCAACATTTCTTTTAGAAATTCAGTCTCCTCAAGAAAATTTCATCACACCTGATCTCGCCACAACAGTTATTGTGTCAGTCTGAGACTGAATCCCTTATAATTTAGTTTGTCAGCTCTAACCAGACCCTCAGACCAGACCCTCAGGTTGTACCTTCATAGCTGCAGCCTCCTGCTACAAGACATCAGATCATCAGCTGAGTCTTCGGACGTATGTATGGAAGAGGCTAGCCATGCTGTCAAAAAAAAATCAGTCCATCATAAGAGGGCTGAAGTCATGGTCCACACAAAAAACGGAATAGCGAGAAGGATTTTTCAAAACCAGCACCGGGTGACCATTTTGCCCCGTTGTCAGTATCCTCCCCCATTCATTTGCTCTTGCTACCTATCTTCAGCTGCTGCAGCAAGCTCTACTTTTTCTGCGATTCTGTCCAATGTAGCTACAATGCCAATGTCCGCTGTCTCCATGTCTGGCCGATTCCGTTTGTCCAGGGTCGTACAGCGCAGCCCCAAACCTGCCACCTCCAGGGCCAAACCGACATCCCAAGCGCCGGCACTTGGATCAAGAGCATTTTCAAATGCTGCACCACCTCCTCCCATTGCATCTTCAACAATTCCCAGTGCATTCCAGAATTTCCCAGTGAGAACTTCCAAAAGAGTCACACCCAGCGCGTAGATGTCTGTCTTCTCGCTGCAAACCCCAGAACGCAAATATTCCGGTGCCATGTACTGAGAGTTGCTTCCAAGGAAAGTGCGAAAAGAACCTTCGGAGCCCTGCCCTCCGCAGGGCTGTTGGGACACAAGGAGAGCCCGTTCAACCCCGCAAATCTTTGCCACAAAGTTGTGATCGAGAAGTACGTTTGCTGGTTTGATGGCGCCGTGGATGATGGGACGACCATTGTCCAGCCGGTTAGAGTGGATGAAGGATACTGCACGAGCGACTTCTGCCATCACACGAAGGCGAACGTACCATGGGAGAAATCCTCTCCTGTGATTGTCCCCACCTGAAATCCACTGCTTCAGACTTCCATTTGCCACGTCCTCGTACACCAAACAATTCTCTTCATAACAAACTCCCAACAGCCTCAACAAATTGGGATGCTGCAATATTCTCAACATGTCCACCACCTTGTCCTTGAATTCCGCATGACGAGCCCCTCGTGTGCTTGTAACCCTCACCTTCTTAACCATAATAGGCRTACCATCRTGGAGTTTTCCAGAGTAAACAGACTCGTTGTAATCTGCATCACCGCTTCCCAGAGTCATGTTGAAGTCGTTTGTAGCCTCCTTGAGCTCCGCCAGAGAATACACTCKCGYTGYRCGYGCAGCARCTTCAYTTTTCAGTCGGAGTTTCATTTCACTGATTCTTYCGTTGAAATCTTTGATGAGGGCTACTCTCTCTAGCTCCAGCTCCCGAATCTTTTTCGTGGATTTTTCAAGCTTTTCCACGAGTACTGTCTTCTGTGCAACGAGGTTTTTCACCTCACTGTGCAGGTGTTGGACCTTTTGTGCAAGCTCTGCCCTCTCGGCCTCCAGCTCTCCGTTCCTCCTTTCTGCATTTGCAAGCCTCTCTCCCATCACTGTGCTCTTCGACTTGAGCGCTCTTACCTCATCCTCTAATTGCTTCGCCTGACTTGCTTGCATTCTCTCTTTCTCTTGGTGATCTGCTCTCACTTTGTCGAGTTCGTTCATATGTTTCAGTATCATCTCCCCCAACTCTTCCTCTTTTTTCCTGGCTAGCTCAAGTTTGATGCGAGTCACCTCTTCGCTTTCCAACTCCTTAATCTTCTTCTCCTTCTTCAGTTCTTGTGTCCGAATGTGTTTTTTTTCTCTTGTGTTGATCTCAAGAACCTGGAACTGTCCTTCAGCTCCAAGCACGAGCTTGTGAGAGTTTCTGCAAGCAGCCATGCTCGTCAGATATTTGACTCCAAGTGGAAACGATGACACCAGCTCGTAGTTTGACTGTCTCCAAACTCTAATTTCTCCATCAGATGACGCACTGAAGATGTAGGGCAAGTGTGGATGGAAAAATGCAGACATCACGAAATTCTTGTGTCCTTCCAGTTTGGCTATGCAAACTCCTCTCTTGTAGTCCCAGACCCTTACTTTCTTACCACTATGGCCCGTGATCAGAAGTGACTTCTCTTGACCACTACTAAATTCCATGCTGTAGCTGTAGCCCATTTGTTCAGTATCTTGAAGTGTTTGGGAAGGGGAGAGGTTATTTTCCGAATCCCAAATTTTGATTGTGCCATCATCTGAGCCACTTGCAAATATACGTGACTCCGTTGGATGAAAAAACAAAACCCTCACATTAGCAGAATGGCCTCGGAATGTAGCTTTCTTTTGCCAATTCCTGGTCCAGTCCCACAAAAAAATGTCTATTCCGAAACCGGTAAGTACATAAGGTGAGCTATGATGGACTGCCAGTCCATATGCATACCCTCCATTAGGAGACTTCAGCTCAACGATATGCCGCAAGCCTGAAGCTTGGATTTCATACACATCAAAGGACCGTAATCGTCTTACCACAATCCAGTCTTTCTGTGCAATGAATTTTGCACATTCACCATTCTGCACATCAGGCGTTACCCAGGCCGCAACCCGCGCGCCATCCTCGTAGTTCCACACTTGAACTGACTTGCTTGAGTGGCCGCAGGGTACAATCAGAACCCACGGTTTACGAGGATGCAAATCGATGTACACCTCATCTGTAGAACCGTCCTCCAAAATCTGAGACCCTGCCTTCTTAAATTTCGTGACAAGTGAGACTTTGCCCTCTGGTTTTGGATCGGCGGCCATGTTTGCCTTGGAGGATGCTTAGTACTATAATAATTAATCAACGTTTCTTCCGATACTAACTTAGGAAGCTGCACCTGAAAAAAAGTAAGTGCGTGTCACATGTATTTAATATGGTTACCATAATTAAGTCTAATTGCATGAATTTAATGGAAGCATCCGGTTCATCAGTTCACAGTTCAAAATGAATGAATTTGCAGCTTGCCGAGCCAACGAAGGATAATTTACGTTGTAAATTATTGTGCAAAAAAAAAAAAAAAAAACATCAGGAACTTGAAGCGTGATGCAGTCACATCATTGTGCGCTCTGGCCGTCTGCCCAATGCATGCTTTCAAAGAGAGTTGCCTGCAAAAACTGGTTGGTGTTGTAAGAACAAAAGGCACAGGAGCAAAGCACGAGTGCCCTCAGGCTGTCAGAAAGGCATTACACCTACAAGAGAACCCTTTGGAAGTCCTCTGAAAGGAGAGCACAAAGGGAAAAAAAAAAAAGGAAAAAAAAAGGCTGTGTGGGTATGTTGAATGGATGAATTGATGGAAAGCAATTTATGTGCCAACCATACTTTGAGATTGACATCGAGCTTGATTGGTTTCCTCTCTTTTTCCTCCGTTTCCAAAAAAAAATATATATATTTCGGACAGTTTATATAATGGGGAGTAGGCCAAGGAAACAGAGGTTTGCAAAGCTTCCCTCAGGCTGCAAGACAATCCAAAGGAAAACAGATGGGGCCCAGCTCAGCTGGTACACCCATGAGCAACTTTTTTTTTTTTTCCCCTCCACCCACGAACGACCTGTTGAAATTTACACGCCTGAGATCCAATCCAGATGGAGCTCGATGTATGAAGCAAAATTCATGAAGCAAAAAAATAGAAAAGGAAAATTTCAAAAATGTATATAACTGATTAATTTCGTGTACAACTTGTCAATGATTGAAAGGGAAGAAAGGGAAGAAAGGGAAGAAATTGTGTGGCAAGACAGAGCAAAGCATGAGAACAGAGGAAGAGAAAGATACACCATGGAAATCCACTCCGTTACGCACGCCAAAGATAATATGTCGAAAGTACGAAAACAGCTTTTATAGAAGATCAAACATGAACAACACCCACACAGCCAACCCCTCGATGCGTTTTGTCTGCCCCGCACGCAGTCTCTTTAGGAGAACAGATCTCACAAAGTTGTCATCACAATCATCACTACTTCACACAACTAGGGCCAAACCAAATGCCTTGCCCCATATTTATACTCATCCTACGCCTATCCTGCACAAGCCTGAACCTAACGACGACCACATGAGCATCACCATCGAAGGCCACAAGGGAGCCAACATCGCATCCCAGGG